AAATAAAAATATAAAAAAGTAAAAGTAAAGAAACATTGCCGCCGTACTGTAACAAATTGCCAAATATACATAAGGCCAACAATATATAGTTTTAATAGTGATGTAAATAAAACTGTCTTAGTGTGGTGTTTACACAACATAGTAAATCAAAGTGAACGCCACTCACAAATCTACTCTCAAAACGGCCCCTTGCTACCTGATCTCATATTAAGTTCGACTCCTCGGAGCATAATCGCTCCTGATTTAAGTACCCACCTTTCCGACGTTCTCTTTCTTTCAAGATAGCCTCAAACCATTCATGCTTTTCTTCAGGTGTTTTTGCCATGCATACAAACCATTTGTTTTTTGCTGTGTTATGTATCTTCCACCCATTCACAACAATGTGCCCACTGCTATGAAAATCAGCTGAAAAGTAAAGGGTTTTAAAAAAGGCCAATGAGTAAGGTGTAGCACTGCAGCAGCAGGATCATCCACCAAAGCACACAGTTCAGTACTTTTATTCAGTATGGACATATTAGAAGATTAAGGAAATGTCTATGCAGTTAATGGCCCACAAGGAAACATATCTAACTCACAGCATTAATCTATTACATTCAAAGAGGTACTACAAATTAAGATTCATTACACTATGTCCAAAATAATTGTTCACATTTATAAAGCAATAACCTTTAAGTGCCTTCTTTTCAATAATCAAACACTCAAGATATCAGGCTCATTTTATCTTTCTAATGCTTCCTGTAAATAATATTCTCAGTTTCAGAAACAGTCTGTACTGCACAAAATAATTTCCTATTATTTACTAAGCCTGCCATAATGGTGCATATGGTTAGTCCCAGCACTCAGGAGGCAGAGGCAGAGGCAGGTGAATCTCTGAGATTGGGACTAGCCTGGTCTACATAGCAAGGTCCAGGCCCATCAGTGCTACAGGGAGACCCTGTCTTAAAAAAGTCAAAATAGGTGCTGAAGAGATGTCTCTGTTTAAGAGCACTGGCTGCTCTTGCAGAGGAGAAATATTTGATTCCCAACACCCACATGGTGGCTAACAACCATCTGTAGCTCCAGTTCTAGAGGATCTGTCGCCCTCTTCTGGTCTCCATGGGCATTCACAACACAGGTTCACTTACATGCAGGCAATACACTCATACACATTAAATAAAAAATAATAAAATATTTTAAGACAAAGAAAAATAAGTAGTCCCATGAGAACAAGTCATAGACTAAGTATATACACCTACACTGCAATAAACAGAAGCACATGAAGGATAAGCCACCATCACTGCACCTGGCTGAAATGTGCTCTTTGAAACACAGTCATTCCACATAGCAAAAGCAGGGAAATGATTTGTAAAGAATCTTAGCTGGCAGGACAAGCAAAGATTCCAAGAAGAAAAACTGGATGACAGAGGCCTGAATCAGCATCAACTCCCACAAAAATGGCACCTGGCATTTGTTTTCCTCCAAGTCTTTAAGCAGCAATGGCCAAGGCACAGGAGGCCAGCCAGGAAAATGTTAGAGGGAGTTTAGAAACCCTAAATGACACTTCACCTGGCTTGGGGTTTCTTCTCTCAAATAATCTGTTTACTGAGCATGTTTTGAGGAGAAGAAGATGTTCTTGACCCTAATTTCCTTATAATGTGATTCCTATTGTCTTTTTCACTGATGCCAGGTCACCACGTTACCTGTTGTCAGACTATTGGTTCCCAAAATGTGTTTTCACATGACGCTGTATGCTTATGTGCCTTTAAAACTTCTGTCATATTTGTATCAGAATTAAATTAGATCAGATATTAGACTGTATTTTAGATATGTGCAATAATCCCACAAATACCTTTTTAAAGATTTTATTTTATTTACTTATTTTTAGTATTTTAATAACTCTTTGAAAACTCCATATAATGTATTACCTTCATATTTCCCCTTCCACAACAACTTTTGATCATACAGAATTTCAAACTTTTACAAAGAACTTTTGTGGTTTTCTTATTTTCACATATTTAATTCATGTTCATATTAGATTAAGAAGAAGGAGAGCAGAGATTAATTGGCATTAGGGAAAATACATAAATTATTTCATAATTACCATACATGCTCTACCTAGAAATTTTGATAATTTAAAAAAAAACAAAAATTTCCATTATAAATGTTTACAGCTCCTCCCCCAAATTTGTCACCTCACAAGACCCTTACACATGGTTACCTAAGTGAAGCCTGCACTGCCATTTAAAGGATCCCACATTCCCACCAAAGTTTTCACCACTGTGATCATACTGTAGGGAAAGAAAACTGCAATAACTAGTGCAGCCTGCATGATAGACACTGGACTTACTTTAAAATAAGCACAGCATTTTCCTTCCACACAAATTCATATGCAAAAATCATCAGAGCAATGCTCCCAGTTCTCAGGTGGGAGCCCTGGGCCAGCCACCTCTAGACTGCAGGTCTCTGCACTTCCCTTCCTGGAATGCCTGTTTGTTTCACAGCCAAATTGCTCCTCAGTACTTTTGCAGTGTCCCTTCTTTTAGCTCAAGAGGCTTGGGTGTCTGACAATGTGTCATCCAAGTGTGTAGACTTTGCTTTAAGAGATTTTTCTATCCCCACTCAGTCTGATGCCACTTTCCATGATATTCAAATGCACTCCCACAACTCTGTCCAGTCTGCTCCTCTCCTGCCTGCATACAAATACTGGTCCATTTTGATGGCTGAGGTTCTCATCAAACTACCCTCTTTGCTCTCTCAGCATGGACTAGTTCTTTTAAGGGCACACCGCTTCTTCAATGAAACCTAGCTTCACTGTTCCAGCTTGTGCATTCAAACTTCCTTTGGAAATGATACAATTAAACCCAGAACCAGACATGTAAGCAAAGAGTGGTATCATGCAATTATAGTTCTGATGTACAGACACAGAGCTCATTAACTCATTCTAAAATGTCTACCTTCCCAAAGATCATGTTGATTGTGGCACTCAAATAGAATTTTGGCAAAAAAAGATGATATATAATTTTTAAAGTTTTATTATTTTTTACTTGTGTGTATATATGTGTGTCTGTCACATGTGTAGGGGTGCCTACTAAGGACAGAAGAGGGCACTGGGTGGATCCCCTGGTGCTCAAGTTACAGGTGATTGTGAGCTACTCATGAATGCTAAAAACCAAACTGAGGTCCTCTGGAAAAGCAGCAAACGCTCTTCACCTCTGAGCCATCTCTGAGGTCCAGTATTGTATAATTTTAAATGAAAGAATAATAATGCTCCATTTAAAATTCAAATGATAATAGCTTTCTATAATATCTCTAAAAGTCATTTGTAATTTTATTTATTTATTTATTTATTTATTTATTTATTTATTTTTATCTTTTTGGGACAGGGTCTTCCTATAGCTCCAGCTGGCCTGGAACTTACTATGTAGTCTAGGCTAACCTTAATCTCACAGAGATCCACCTCCCTCTGTCTCCCAAGTGCTGTGTTTAAAGGCATGTGCCACCATACCCAGTCATCATTTGTCATTTTAAACTTACAGGTTTTACATATATGCATATGGATATATATCCATATATACTCTAACAAGTCTCAAAATGCAGTACGTATGTTTATTATTGTTAGCATATACTTTACAAAATAATCAGTTGCCTCTCACATCAAAATATAATGTTCTATTGCTAGCATCATCATTTTAACCATAGCACATTGTTCAATATACTCAAAATAAGAAACGTATCCATTCAAAGCATCACACTAAGATCAAGGAAAAACACAACAGTGCTCTCTCATCAGTAGGTTTTGTCTTCTTTTCTTTTGTTGCTAGAATACAACCCAGAAACCTTGCATGCTAACTGTACACTCAACCAGTGAGCTACGCCCCCACCCCCAGCCTCTTTGACCTATGTAGGAACTAAAAATATTTTTAAGCGGGGCATGGTGGCACACGCCTTTAATGCCAGCACTCAGGAGGCAGAGGCAGGCGGATCTCCATGAGTTCAAGGCCAGCCTGGCCTACATAGTGAGTTCCAGGACAGCAGGGCACAGCAGGGGCTACAGGGAGACCCTGTCTCAAAAACAAAAAAAAAGAAAAAAATTTTAATGAAAGAACCAATTAACAGAAATTTGTAAGCTTCAATGTATCTAAAATATTAATGTTATATAAGGTGTCTGAAAGAAAATGAAAATGAAATTAAAACTTCTGCTCATTCAATATAGAATGTATAAGATCAAAAGGCTCTAGTATCTAATTTCTTATAAAACTAGTAATATTCAAGGGGCAAACCCTTAATTACTTTCTCTTAATTCAGCATAGTTTTATGTAATGAGATGGAGGCCTTCCAAGATGGAGGTACTATAAATCTCCGTGGGCAAAGTGGCATCCATTTAATAATGTTTGTATTTTAATAAGATGGACAATATTCAAGTACTGTATACACATGCTTAGAAACAGAAGACATTGCCAAAATATCTACTCAAAACACCTACTATTAATAACTTATGTCACTATAATGACTCCAGTTCTCATTATGGTAAATCAACAGAGAATGAATACTTTCCTAAGGAAAAAAATGTTAAATTGCAGCTCACTGATAAAAAAATTTAATATGAATAAAATTGTTTTTGGAATAAATCTTTGATCTTATCAAATAATTCAAGAAAAATTTCTGGCATCCAATATAACAGGCCACTATGACAAAATGAAAAAATTCATATTTCTCTTTAAAACTAAAAAGTAGCTCATCTCTTAACATTTTTGAATACTCAAATTCACTTAATAGTATTATATTTTTAAATATATCAGATAAGATTATGTTCTTTGTAT